TACAAGCGTTAGACATCATATAGCCAAAATTAAACATTTTACATAACGTTGGGAGCGTTTATCCCCATCAATTCCAGCCCTAATTTTAAAATTATTTGGATATTTTTCACCAACAATAATTTTTGGCTGGTTAGTTCGGGATTTTCTAATTCCAAAATAGTGCTATTTTGATAATAGATTTGTCAAGCACGAGCCAATTCGTAGAGATAGTTAATTAAATGGTGGGGTTTGTTTTCCTCAATGACATTTTCTAAAACAAAAGAAAAACGAGTTAGTAAATTAAATATACTTCTTTCGGCCTGGTCGGTTAATAAATCAATGCTGGAACCAATTCGGTCAATGTTTTTTTGTTGGGCTTTTTGGAATATCTGGTGACAGCGAGCATGAGCGTATTGAATATAATAAAGGCGGGTTTTTTCTTGGTTTTCTTTCAGTAATTCGGTATTGATAGAAAGGGGCTGGTTGGGGTCTTTTTCACACAAAAAAAATTTTAATTGGTCTAATTGTAAATATTTCAGGGCCTCGGCTAATTCAATAGTATTGCCTGCTCGTTTGGAAAATCGAGTCGGACCATCTTTGGTAAGTAAATTGACCGTTTGCACTAAGATTATTTGCAAGTACTCAGGGTTGTGGCCTAATAATTGATAAGCACTTTTTAAGCGAGCAGTAGTTCCGTGATGGTCGGCCCCTCAAATATTAATTAATTTGTCAGCCCTTTTTGATTTATCTAAATGATAAAGAATGTCAGAAAAAAAATAAGTATAGTCGCCGTCTTGCTTGATAATTACTCGGTCTTTGTCGTCGCCCCCGAGACTGCTGCGAAAAAAGGTTGCTCCGTCTTGGATATAAATTAAATCTTTTTTTTCTAATTCAGTTAATAATTCTAAATGCTGTTTTTTTTCGTATAAACTGGCTTCGGAAAATCAAACATCAAATTTAACTCCACATTTTTCTAAATCTTGGCGGATTCTGGCTAAAATTAACTCTAAAATCTCTTTTTTTCAAGTCGCAAAATCCTCGGCGTTTAATTCTTGGTTAATATATTTGCTGCCTCATTTGGTTATTAATTGGTGAGCGATTTCTCGGCTCGCTTTACTTAAAATATATTCCCTTTTTGTCTTGTCAAAATAATCGGAAGCGTCTTTTTTTATATATAAACAATATAGGTGATGAATGGAATGAACTAAAGAAGTGATTTGCCCCCCTCGGTCATTAATGTAGTATTCTCGGGTTATTGGATAGCCACAAAATTGGTAAATATTGGCTAGTGTGTTACCAACTACCGCATGGCGAAAATGCGCCAAATGGAGATAACCAGTTGGATTAGCCGAAACATACTCAATATTTAGACGAAAATTTTTTCTTTCTCCCCGGAGATTTTGGCCGACCTGAGTTAA